ATGGGTGAAACTTGAAAGTTTGTATATGACCAAATCTCTGGTAAATCGACTCTACCTGAAGCAAGCTTTGTATTCATTCAAGATGATTGAAGACAAAGTGTTGGCTGAGCAGTTGGATATGTTCAACAAGCTGATTCTTGATCTTGAAAATATTGATGTAAAGATTGATGATGAAGATCAAGCGCTGTTATTATTGTGCGCTTTGCCCAGATCACATGCTCACTTCAAAGAAACCCTCTTGTATGGAAGAGAGTCCCTGACCTTTGAAGAAGTTCAATCAGCTTTGTACTCTAAGGATTTGAACGAACGTAAGGAGCATAAACCTTCGACGGTTGGTGAAGGTTTGGCTGTTAAAGGAAAATTCGACAAGAAGAAAGGTAAAAATCAGTCGAAGTCTTATAGTGGTGACACATCTGGTATTAGATGCTATCACTGTAAGAAAGTAGGTCACACAAGAAAGGTGTGCCCTGAACGCCTGAAAGATCATGGAGGTAAGGATAATGGCAATGCAGCTATTGTCCAAGATGATTTCGAATCATCTGATGTTCTTGTGGTTTCAAGCAAAAACTCATCGAAGGAATGGATTATGGATTCTGGATGCACTTGGCACATGACTCCAAACAGAGACTTGTTCGAGGAATTATGTGATCAAGATGGTGGATCGGTATTGCTGGGAAACAACAAAGCTTGCAAGATTGCAGGCGTTGGATCTGTGAGATTCAAGCTCCATGATGAGTCAATAAGATTGTTGACTGAAGTCAGGTATGTACCTGATTTGAAGAGAAATTTGATTTCTCTTGGTGAATTCGACAAGAAAGGATATGTTTTTCAAGGAGTGAAAAGTATCCTGAGAGTCATGAAAGGGTCGAAGGAAGTCTTGAGAGGCGTGAAGAAACAAGGCTTGTATACCCTTGAGGCTGAAGTTGTAAGTGGTTCGACAAATGTTGCATCCACGAAACCTTTGTCGAAGACAGAAATTTGGCACATGAGATTGGGCCATGTCAGTGAAAGGGGTCTGGTCGAATTAGGGAAACAAAATCTGCTTGGTGGAGATAAAGTCGAAAAGCTGAAGTTTTGTGAACCCTGTGTACTTGGAAAATCCTGTAGAATGAAGTTCAACAAAGGCAAACAAAGAACACATGGATCCCTTGATTACATCCATGCTGATCTTTGGGGGCCTGCAAGGTGTCCATCACATTCAGGAGCAAAGTATTTTCTATCCATAGTAGATGACTATTCCAGAAAGTTATGGGTATTCATCCAGAAGACTAAGGATGAAACTTTTGAGAATTTCAAAAGTTGGAAGACTCTTGTCGAAAATCAAACTGGCAGAAAGGTAAAAAGGTTGAGAACCGACAATGGCCTTGAGTTTTGCAATGAGGCGTTCGACAGTTTTTGTGTTGCCTCTGGTATTGCAAGGCACAGAACTACCGCAGGTACTCCACAACAAAATGGTTTGGCTGAAAGGTTTAATCGAACTATTTTGGAGAGAGTTAGATGCATGTTGACTAGTGCGGGATTAAAGAAGGTGTTTTGGGCTGAGGCTGTTTCGACAGCAGCATATCTGATAAACAGATGTCCTTCGACAGCGTTAGATATGAAGACACCTGAAGAAGTTTGGTCGGGACATCCACCAGATCTCGACAAACTAAGAGTATTTGGCTGTGTAGCCTATGCTCACATTAGGCAAGACAAGGTCGAACCTAGAGCTCTGAAATGCATGTTTATGGGATACCCTGAAGGAGTAAAAGCTTATAGGCTATGGTGCCTAGAGCCAGGTCACAGGAGGTGTATCACCAGTCGAGATGTAGTTTTCAATGAAACTGAAATGGCTTTCAAGAAAACTGATGATGTTGACGAAGAGCTGGAACAGGTAGAGATTCCTGTTGAGGTGGAGCATGTTGATGCTGAAATGCGTATCCCAGATGAAGTCGAAGAAGAAACAGAAGATTCTGATGATGTTGAGGAAACTGTTGATGACTACCTATTGTCGAGAGATAGACAAAGAAGAGTCATAAAACCACCTCAGAGACTTGGATATGCAGATCTTGTAGCTTATGCCTTAATCTCTGCAAGTGAAGTTCTAGACGAAGAACCTAGAGATTATAAGGAAGCTATAAGGAGTCGAATGAAGACTGAATGGCTAAAGGCCATGCATGATGAGATGAAATCTCTTCATGATAATCACACTTGGGAACTGATCAAGAAACCTGTTGGGGCAAGGTTAGTCAGCTGTAAGTGGATTTTCAAAGTTAAGGAAGGAATTGAAGGAGTAATGTCGAAGAGGTACAAGGCAAGATTAGTCGCAAGGGGTTTCACTCATAAAGAAGGTGTCGACTTCAATGATGTATTTTCCCCTGTTGTGAAGCACAGATCCATTCGAATGTTGCTTGCCATGGTGGCTCAGTTCGACCTTGAACTGGAACAAATGGATGTGAAGACTGCGTTCTTGTATGGTGACTTAGATGAAACAATCCTGATGAGGCAACCTGAAGGGTATGTCGAAAAGGGGAAAGAAGATTATGTGTGCAAACTGAAGAAATCTTTATATGGACTTAAACAATCTCCTCGACAGTGGAATAAGAGATTCGACAAGTTCATGGAACACATAGGTTTCATTAGAAGTCAGTTCGACCATTGTGTTTACTCCAGATTTCGACCTGAAAATTCATTTGTAATTTTGTTGCTTTATGTTGATGATATTCTGATAGCAAGCAACAATGTCGAAGATGTAATGAGGGTGAAGGCTGAACTCAATAAGGAGTTCGACATGAAGGATCTGGGAGCTGCATCTAGGATTCTTGGAATTGACATTCGAAGAGATAGAAAGCAGTCGAAATTATGCTTATCTCAAGAGGCATACCTACGAAAGATTCTTGACAAGTTTGGTATGTCGAATTCAAAGCCTGTTGTGACTCCAACAAACCCTCAATTCAAGCTGAGTATTGATCAATGTCCCAGTACTGATGTCGAAAGAACCTATATGAATAGCATCCCATATGCTAATATAGTTGGTTCTTTGATGTATGCTATGGTCTGTACTAGACCCGATATAGCATATGCAGTAAGTCTTGTAAGCAGGTACATGGCGAATCCTGGAAAGGCTCACTGGCAAGCGTTAAAGTGGATTTTAAGGTACATAAATGGGTCTCTGAACAGAGTCTTAATTTATGGTGGAGCCTTGGGTGAAGATAGTAAAGCAGCAGTCGAAGGCTATGTTGACTCCGATTATGCAGGTTGTATGGATTCCAGAAAATCTATTTCTGGATATGTTTTCACTATGTTTGGTACAGCAATTAGTTGGAAAGCAACTCTTCAGAAGGTTGTTGCCTTATCAACTACTGAAGCAGAATATATTGCCCTAACTGAAGCTGTGAAAGAAGCATTGTGGCTTGAAGGTTTTGCAAAGGAGCTGAAACTTCAAGGTCAAGGTATCACTGTTAAATGTGATAGTCAAAGTGCAATACACCTGTCGAAGAACTCAGCCTATCATGAGCGAACCAAGCACATAGATGTGAGGCTGCATTTCGTCAGAGGGGTAATCGAGCGTGGAGAAGTCCAAGTGCTGAAGGTCTCGACAGATCACAATGCTGCTGATATGATCACCAAAACATTGCCAAGTTGCAAGTTTTTCCACTGTATGCAGTTGATAAAGCTGCATGAAGAAAGCTAGTTAGTGTCTCTTGATGCTGCAGAGTTAGGTCCAAGGTGGAGATTTGTGGGATTTTGGATCGAACTCTAGTTGGTCGAAGTACTTGCTGTAGTCGAAGAAGGTTCTAGCATGTATTTGTCGAAGGATGCTTGTCGAATTAGGTTTTAGTGTTTAAACCCTAATTTGTTAAGTTAGCTTGTTTGTTAAGTTAGCTTGTATAATGGGCCTTGTGGAAAAAGCCCATTAGTTAGTATGTTAGGTTTTATTATAAATAGCATACTAGTCTCTCATCATTGCCATCACAGCAAATCCTAATTTAGGGTGAGAGGGTTATTTGTTATTCTTGTAAACTTGTAATCTTGTTTTCTAAGAGAAAGTAAAGAATAGCAGTTATAACCAATTCTTGTGTTCTTCTCATTCCTTGTTCTTTATTCTTCCCTTATTCTATACTTTATTATTGGCATTGAATTCACAACAATATCATATACAAAAAAAATATGTAAAAAATTCCATGCATTCCATTTCTACCAAAGGGATAAAATTTGGGGTCTTTCTGTATTTAATTACCTTTTTATTACGATGCTATCTAGTTAAGGATAGTTAAATAGGGGCAACTGTTGTACCCCAATTTTACCCCAGGGTCAATCATTCATCGCATTTAGGTTGACCAAAAGTCAAATTAAATCAACATTTGCATCGTTTTAAAGTAAAAAATACCTGATATCTCACTTCATGTATTTTTATCTCTTTACACCGCTTCATGCATTGCGCCAAGTTGATCATATTTCAATAATATTGATATTTCGGTTCTACATGCAGACTGTTAAAAGCGATTCGATATTATGTAGAAAATTAACAGGTAAAATATTTCGAATTTTCATCTTTAGTTAACTGTTTTATGAATCTACATTGCGCGTAAATCATGTCGGTGTGCTCACTTTATTTTTTCGGTACAATTTATAGTCTTTTTAATTGTCAGAGTCTGTTCAGTCGGATATTTTTATTTTAGTTTTATTTTCGATTTTGGTCATTTGCAATCTTTTTTATTAAAATTTGTGACATGTAATTTATTTTAATGTGTTTATTTCCTTTTTTCAATTAATTAGGTGTCTTTTTTTTACCGTTTTTGATTTTTTTCAATTCTACTTTTTTATTTAGAAAAAATTGAAACAAAAATATTTCAAGATGTGTTTATTTTTATCCTTTTAGTTTTTTAGGTTGATTTTATCAAAAAGGGCATTTTTTCCATTAAAAAAATACAAAAAACCTAAGTTGTTAATTAAGTGTAGAGATAAGATTTGTGAGGAGGAGGCATCGGATTTGAGATAAAAAAAGCAGAAACGGAAAAATGAGAGAACTTGCTGCTACCTCCGTCCTCTCAGCACAACTCTGTTCGAAGACTTCCGTCCAGACCGGCCTCAACCGAAGCTCCTTTATGTCGTTCATCGCTCATAACACTCCCTCCGCCTGTTTATGTCGGTAACCCTCTGTAGTAGCTCCGTTCATAGACTCAACCTTCCTACTCCCTAGCAGCCCAACACCTTTTGTTTCTGTCTGAAGACCTCCACTCAGCCTCCGCCAACACAACCTCATCGTCCAACTTCTGCCATTCCAGCTGTTTAATTCCTCCATCCATTTCAGCTCCATTTAACAACAACAATAACTCACTATCACTGCTCAAGTGGTAAGCAATTCCACTTCAATTTCACTTTCACCATTTTCATTTAATTTAATTTCTGGACTGTTTGTGATGAAATTGAATGGTGAAATTGATTGTATTATAGTGTTAGCTTGTGTTGCATCTATGAAGTTTTAGTGATAAATTGTAATGAAGTTTTTGATGTCAATACTATGCTATTTGTGTTGAATATGAGCATTATAGTTGATGACAATATCACTTTACTGGGTTTAAATGGAATGATGAAGTATTGATGTTAATTTGGTGCTGTCTGTGTTAGCTCTAAATGATAAATTCTGATGATATTATTCGTGTTATTCGGGTTAAATATGAAGGGTAGCTTTGGTGACATCTGTGTTAAGTTTGAAAAATTATTTTTGATGTCAATATCATGCTCTTTGTATTAAATCTGAATGAAGTTTTGATAGCATCTGTGTTAACTCTGAATGGAAAATTTTGGTGACACTATTTGTGTTATCCGGGTTAAGTCTGAAGCGTAGTTGTGATGACATTTGTGTTAAAATTTAATAATGGATTTTGATGTTGATACATTGTTGTTTGAATTAATTTAAAGGTTTTGATGGCATTATGGTGTTATTTATGTCGATTTTGAATGAGGAAGTTGGTTGTGGTATCGGGTTTTATTCCTGTTTGGGATGAGATTTTCGAGCCAATAAGTGTTTTATTATTGCTGCCCGATTGCTTATAATGTGATATGTTCAAGCTTTGCGATTATGTTTTGAATGTGATTTGAGTAATAACGTGAATTCATTTCTAATTGATCTTGGTTTTGATGAGTGTTTAAAGTTGTGAAATCTGGTTTAGCATTTTCGATTCATAAGCTTTAATCTATTTTTACATCCATGAGAATCACTTTGTTTTGAACACCCGATATTTTGTTGAGATTAGATTTTCATTGTTTTCATTGTTTGTATGGTGTTGTTTATTGGAATTGTGATGTGGTTGAAGTTGTTGAGACTTTAAAAGTTTTCATGAGATTTTGGTTGCAACTCATCTTTTACCACTTACTTTTTTAGTTCACATGATGTTAATTGCATTTTAATCTTGATTCTTGCTTTGCTATTTCATTCATATATGCATGGTAATTATGGTTGAGAAATCAATTGCCTATACATGTAAATTAAGGCAAGTTTCCATTGGTTTACTATACTTTCTTTTGTTTTACTAACATGTTCAAGGTTTGTGTAAGCTTTCAAGATGACTCAAGTGCTCACTTCATGTTTGCACACTTTGTTGCTTTTAATTAATTAATCAAATGTTAATTTAGTTAGCTGATTTTGTTATTAAAAATTAATTAATTTTACTAGTTAATTTTTCTTAACCTAATTAATTAAGTTAATCAATTCTTGATTAATTGATTAAACATTTACTTCATGTTTCATTTGTTCATCCAACTCTGATACATGGTTCTAACCCATTTAGACTTGAGTTCTTATTTCATATGAGACCTTTGGTTTATTTCTATGTTATCCTGGTTTTGTTTGTTTGTGCGGTTTTTCATCTGATGCAGGAGTTTTTATATGATACCTTGGGTTTATCTGATGCATTTTCTGCTTGTGATTTATTTTCACTTGATGCTTGGTATACTCTTAGTTTATTCTTTGCTTGTGGCTTTAATCCAAAAGATGAGAATTCTATGTTGACTTTATTATGTCAAATATTGGCTTCTTGTTTGGTCAAACCTTCCTTACCTTAACTTTTACTTTATGCTTTAGGATAATATCTTCATCTCCTCCATTTCTTTAATTTTCAAAACCTTCTCGTCTTTTTTAAAACCTTCTTATTTTTCTAACTCGAATCGCTTTCACAATAAACCTTGACTTTGTAAAGTAATTTTCTTTTCAAAATTTCTTTTCTTTAATAAATGCTAATTCATCTAACCATATTCTAACCTTTTCAAAAAGACTAAAAAACATCAACCTCATTCAAACCTTTTTGTGCCCTTATGCACCTTTTCCTTTAAAACATTTTCATAATTAGACATGAATCATTCATAGTTGAGATGTCATGCTCCTATCTCTATGGTTGTGATCGAAAAGATGTCGATTTTTTCACTTGAGCGCTTGAGGCACTTGTTGATCTTATCCAAGTGTAAGACCTATATCATGTGATTCATTGTCCATTTTTCTCATACTTTGTGGGTGATTAGTCGAGTATTTTCTCCTAAAAATGACGACTTCTCTCTTCATTTAAAACCCACCAACACATAAAGTTTTGTTCTTTTTTAGAAGAACTGTGGTTCTGATTCTTCATTGCACTTGGTTGATACGTAGGCACATGGCTCTCGAAATCTTGCCGAATCAAAATCTTAAAAACCATTTCTTTTCCCATCTCTCCAGTCACTTTGCAAACAATCATTTTTAGCCTATAACACAAATTTTCAAAGAGGTTCATGCAGAATATCATAGATGCTTAGGGTGTTAATACTCCCCCTTTGCATAACCAACCGCCATACCTTGATCTCTACTTTATTTTGGGATTTATTCTATCTTTTCCCTTTCCTTTGGAAATTATAAAGGTCGATGACGACTCTTGCTTACAGGATGCAAGATTGAATGACTCCTCGTTCACATCTAGAAGCAAACAAAAAAACGATGTTGTGATCTCAGCTATGATACAAGACCGAGTGACTCTTCATTCACAACTAGAAGTAAACAAAAAAATGATGTCGTGATCTCAGCTAGGATGCAAGCCTGAGTGACTCTTCGTTCACCACAAAGTATGACAAAATGGTAGCAAACAATACCAAAGTGTCAATTAGAAATAGCACACAAGCTAACATAGAACTAAGAGTGAAGATTCATCAACCAACAAACAAGTTGCAAACATCAATGCTAAATCTTAAGCATGCTTCAAGTCATCAAAATTCATAACAAAAACACATGGCAAATTGATCTACAAGTGTAAGAATTAGGAAGAGATAAAATCTAATTAAAATCTAAAAAAATCCTAATTCCTATTTTTTTTAAACTATTTTTTATGTATCTTTTATCACTATTTTTATTATTAAAAGAAGTTCAAACTAAAAGAAAAAAACTAAATCAAAAGAAATCAGAAGAGTGAGGGGGTGAGAACTTGAGATAGAAGGTATAGTCCAGCAATATCTAAGTCCAGTCCAGTATAAGCTCAACAACAGTTTTTGTTTTATTAGCAATCAGGCTGCCAAAAAACATGATACGGCCCAGAGTGGGGTGCAAGTAGCGTGGAGGCCCAAAGGATCACAATACAAATCCAATTCTTTAATCAAATTTTGAATATTTATTTATTCATTTTTATTAAAAGAAAATTAAATGGAAAAAAGGAGAAATTAGTGGAACGCATAGTTTAGTGGGAAAGCTAGGGTTCAATTGTTATGACGTTCTAGCTTCACGAATACATCATTTTCTTCTCTCTCGCGTAAACACGTTGCGACCGCTCTCTGTATCTCGTTCGCTGTCGTCTGCTTCTCACCTGCGCTTCCATCCTCATCTTTTTCGAGTCCGCCTCCTCAGCGCCGTGATTTCGCTACCGCCATCATCTTCTTCGAGTCCGCCTTCATCTTCTCGCATCGCCATGGCTTCACTCTCAGACTAGTCTCTGATCCGCTATCTGCATCGACTATACTTGTCTTCAACATTCACAGCATCATCACTTCGTTCTCATTACACAACGGCTCCGTCTCAGACTCAACGGCTCCACCATGGAAGCAAAATGCTGCTGCTCAACTATCAAACTCAAATCATCAGTTCGCCAATCATCACCTTCTTCGATTCATCCTCTTCTCAACGGTTCATTTCGATTCCAACGCAAGCAGATTTACAAAATTCAAATCTCAGAGCAAGCAACAAGTACATATATGAAGAGAAATGTGATTTCGAAGCTTACTTGATCGGAGATGCTCCAATGGCATTTCAACAACGCCGGTAACGAGAAAACTCAGGTAAGCGCTCATAATCTCTTGTTCGTTCTTCTCCCACTTCTTCCTTCTGCTCTCAATCCTCTGATGTGTAATGCTGTTGTTGTTCTGTGATGCAAAATCGAAATGCAGAGATCATGTTGCGTTGTAGTGGTGGCGGTGTTGACGAAGATTGAAGAAGAATCGATGAAGCTTTTGCTGAGGAATTCAGAGAGAAGTAAGTGATTTTTTGGCGAGTTTCTGGAAATGAATCGTGTTGTTTGATCTGTGAAGAGAAATCGGTTTTTATAGGTGCAGAAGTTTGTTACAAATTAACTGATCTGAGCCTTTGATCTAATTTTCTGTTAGAGACCTTGAAAGGTTGAGATTCAATTCTGATTTGAGACTAGCTTTCCTCCAAAATTCTGTTATGAGCTGAGCTGCCCAATTGAAGCTTGAATATAATTCCTCTGTTTTCTGTTTTTTTATTTTCTCATGTTATGGTATTTTCTAACTTCTGATATTTCCTCTCATTTTTTTCTATGCTTTGGTGAACTGTTTTTTTGTTTTTTTTTTGTTTTTTCTCCTTGAAGTGTGATGCAGGTTATGTTTTGAATGATTTTGAATCGGTCTGAAATGTAATTTGAAGCAGAATTTTGCATTGGTTTTTATTGATTTTCTTCTGCATTTCTATTTCTGATTTTTCTATTGAAGAGAACATATGCATGGTTGTTTGATTGGATGAGATCCTCTATCTGTTTCTTCAGCTCACTCAGCTCTGAAACTTACATTCTATACGTCGCCATCAACACAGAGCTAGTACCACATACTAAATTTATGACAAACTCAGCTTCACGTTCTGGCGACAAATCATTAATATCATCTGGGAACACCTCAGGAAACTCACAACAAATAATTATTCTCTTGCTTCCCCCTCTCAAAGACGCGAACACCATGAATACTTGAGCACACTCTCTCAAGGACATGTCTACATGTCTCACAGTCATGAAACTCAACTCTATGCTCTCATCAGATTCAAGAAACTTCATTGATTTCGCAAAGCAATTACTATACACATGGTTGAACTTCAACCAATTCATTCCCAGAATAACATCGAGTTGACTTAGAGGCAAACAAACTAAGTCAATTACAAAATCTCTACCATAAATTGGCAAAGGACAATTCACACACACCAACGAAGTAGTCATTGAACCATTAGTTAGGATATCAATGACCATGCTACCATTCATAGTAGACACTTTCAAATTCATCTTTTCACACAATCATCAAATATAAATGAATGTATTGCACCCGTGTCAATAATAGTAATCAAAGACTTTCCCTCATGACCGCTCCTTATTTGACTTCTGACATTGAGTACTAATATGACCATGTCCCTCACAATTATAACAAGTCAGAGTATTACTCTTACACTCAGCAGCTCGGTGACCTGGTTTCCCACACTTGAAGCAATTCACAGTTGTGCTCTTGCACTCAGAAATACGATTTCCAAACTCACTGCATTTGAAATATCTCGCAGAAGCAAGAGTTTCTCCCCCACTCTGCTCTTTCCCACTCACAGATTTGTGATCAGCCTTCTACTTAACCTTATCAGACAGATTCCCACACAGTTTCCCACAACTTTGATCTTTCCCTTTCTTCTCACTCAGACTCTTATAGTGAGCAAATTGGGCTATACTGTCATCATCATATATCCTGTACTTATTCACCAACACATAATACATGTGAGTCGCTTAATACCCAATACCATGCTTGATTTCAGGATGCAAGCCGCTCTCAAACTTGAAGCACTTGAAGCACTTAAACCCTTCAACAGTTGCACTATTATAGTGTGGACAAAACTTCACCAACTCCTCAAACTTAGTAACATATTTCGAAATTGTCATATTCTCTTGCTTCAGCCCAAAGAACTCAATATCTTTCTGGCTGCGCACATCCTTTGAAAAGTACTTCCCTTGAAATTTAGTTCTAAACACAACCTAAGTAATCTCACTATTTTCATCTTCCATTCTCTGACGCGCGTTGTTCCACCAGTCTTCGGCCTCTTCAGATAACATATGAGTACCGAACAACACTTTATGTTCATCAGTGCGAGCTATTACTCTGGAAATCTTTTCAATCTCACGAATCCATGTCTGTGCACCATCTGGATCATATCCACCCTTGAAGGTTGACAAATTATTCTTATGAAAATTTCCTAATCCACGAAATTCATCGTTAGCTTTAGCATTCAGATGGTTCTGATTATTCCGAACCATTGTTTGAGCCATCGATTCCAAATCTTCAGCAATTGCATCACGATTTCTTCCTCCAGCCATATTTATACATATAAGCAAACAATATTAGAAGAAACAAAGCATTTGATAGTGTTCACACACTGGTCGAATACCATGGCACAAACAACATTACAAATACCTGACCGGAAGGATCGATCTGCTTTAATACTACTAATGTAACACCCTAAACCTCAACTTTAATAAAAATAATTAAACGACAATTTAGGATGCCACTCAACAAAATCATACTTTTCGACATTTTTAAAACAACAACTCACAACGACAAAACCACCAACATAAACTTCATTTGTCACTTTAAACAAAAACTTTGAATTAAAATAACATAATTCATACTTCAATTCAAAACAAATCAAATCTCCCCGTTCTCGATGTTACATGTAACGTCCGTTAATTTAATTAATTATTTAATTAAATTATTTTTGAATTATTTGTTGAAGTTGTGAGATGTTGGGAATTGTTGGTATAAGTTGTTAGATTTGATGGTATAAGGTTAAGCTGACACAAAGATTTGGTTATTTGGTAAAAAAAGAAGTCTTGTGTGTGATCGTGTGAAGCTGCGCGGGAGAGAGGAGCAAGTTACATGGTTGTCGAGCAAAGCAAAGCAAGGATATCGTCTAGAAGTTTGGTAGAGTGACCTTCAATCCAGGTAAGGGCGGGGTTCTGACCTTATAATGGGATTTATGATGTGTATTATGTGAGAATTAGTCGTTTGTATGACTGTTGTGCGTTGGTGTTTCTAGATCTGTCATCGCAGTTACTTGTTTTCTATGTTGTGATCGTTTATGGAGTTACCGTATGACTGTCTTGTATGATTAATGAACCTGCTATTGAAGTTGGCCATTAGTCGTGTTGGGGGCGTTTTGAGTTGTCTGTATAATTGTTCGGTATAATTGATGAATAGGTTAGTGTAGATTATTACTTGTTGATGTGATCATTAGGTTGTTGTATCTTCCGAGCGATTGGCAGGAAATTAGTAAATTATTATTGTGGTCGTTTTAGGAAGGTTTCTGTGTGACTGTCTTGTACAATTAATGAATCTGTTGATAGGAAATATAGTTGCCCATTGCCGTGGATTCCGAGTGGTTGGCCATAAAATATGGGTTGTATTGATGTGGTCGTTATGATGTTGTATTGTTCCATGTTGTTGGCCGAAATTAGTGGTCGAGGAGGATGCTGATGGTGTTAGGTGCCGAGCGGCATTTAGGTTGCAATGTGTGTCGAAAAATATATGTGTTGGATGTCGAGCGACTGATCGGGACTTTATGAGTCTATTGGGATACTAACTGCAAGTATACAGTTTAGTCGTTCTAGTTTTAAATGATTATCGAACCCACAGAGACTGAGGATCAATCGCATACAATCTAATGCTACAATTGTTTAACTAAGCGATGAATATTTGGTTTTAGGGGGGAAATAGTTTAATTAAAAATAAATAATAGCTATACTGGTATGTGATAGTCGGACTTCGGGAATTCGGTGAATCGCTTGGCATATAAAGTATTTCGGTAAAAACGAATTGTTTAAAAACCTGAGACATACACTCTCGTGTTCATGAAATAAGTCATGCTACTAAACCTAGTGGATGCACTTTAAATTTAATAACACTTTTTGGAAACAATTTGAGTTTAATTAATTTATTAAAACACTCTCATGTATTTAAAAATTAATGTTTCGTTACCACTATCTGGGTCGAACCCCAGCTCTCGCATGCAGGTTCTTGCCTTAATTAATTTCCCACTCTCGTGGCAAAATCGTGTTAATTATCCTCTCACTCTCGTGACAAGGGTAGTTAAATTAAACATGAAAATTGGAAACCAGAAATTGTTTATAAATGTTTTTAGCCAAGTTATCACTGAATTCTTTTGGTACTTAGGAGTCACATACCAGTACAATTAATTTAGCCGGACATAATATATTTAGTAACTATGCAATTTAAAATATAATCCATAAAAATAAATGACATAATACAAGAGTAAATAAATATCAATTGCATAAAAAACCTGGAAATAATATTGTTATGGTAATCTTGGATGTTTACAAATTCCTTGCAATTCAACCGAAATCTATAATTGTGTTAATTCTTAGATGAAGAATTAACACTCTAAAAACTAATTCTGGAATTTAAAATTACAGTAGGTGTAAAAAAAAGGGGTTCAAAAGCAAGAAAATAGAATAATGCAGAAAAATAGAAATTTGGCTCTGGATAGAATTCTTCGACCATCATCCATTGAACTACCACATATATATAGAAGAAGATTTTGCAGTTGAGAAAATATTGGAAAAAGCTTGAGTGGAGAAAGACCCGGATGCATGGTTACTGAGTGGAGGAAATATAGGAGAAGAGTTCTGCCCTCAACGTTTCCCACGTCTCCACTAATTCATAACGTTGCCCTTTAAGCGTTTTACGGTCGTCACAAGGGGGTGACGGTCGTAATGCGCTTAAATAGCGCATTACGCTCGTCAATGATGTGTGACGAGCGTTCTTCTAGTTGTGGAGGCGTTACGGTCGTCATAGGGTGTGACGGTCGTCACAGCTACAAAATCTGCAGACTTTGTAGATTTGGTTCTTTCTCTTCTGTTTCTTGGTTAGCTTCCTTCATGTAGTCCTTTTTCATTGATTTGAGTTGACAAATGTTGTACCTGTGAAAAGACACAAAAACTCGGAACAATCGGGAGTTAAACGACTCAATGTATTATAAAAATCGGTAAAAAGTGTAGTAATTATATGATACGATTTCTCGTTATCAAATCCCCCCATACTTACACCTTTGCTTGTCCTCAAGCAAATAGTCATTCGAAAGATCAGACAAGTTTTATCAAGCGCATATGCATGACATACCTTCGATTTTTAAAGCAATTTCGAGAAATCCTCGTCAGTTCGGCCAATACTTGAGTGAAACACTAAAGATACGCTAATGACACAAGCAATAAGCTTAGTCGTAGGCTTCAATTTTAAACGAGCTATCCAACAGTTCCGTTATGATTCTGCCCAGAGTTCCTCGTATCTATTTCACCCGATTTCGTTCTGGCGCAATCACATTAAGCCATTTGTCTTAGCACGCACATAGTGGAGTAACCGGTTAGTGACTTTGATCCTTTTAGCACGGGGTCTGGTACACGAATGTGGCAACCCTACATATTTTATCCAAATTGGAGGTTGTGGGGGATCGAGCCGTAGCACGCCCTACCGAGTTCAGAACCAGATACCTCTGAACTAACCAACAGTGGATTCCTTCATTATTTGCTCAACTCTTATATGTGACCGTATATTTTGGTGCACAAAATTTCTTTTCTTTTAGCAGCGAGATAAGAAGGATATTTCTATGATCAGGCATCAAACACTTATATTCATCGATTCTCCACGTGGTTTGTGTCAGGGCGGTGCTGACTGCTAGTATAAACTACTAGGGGTTACTTTTAGAACTAAAACTCAAGATATCGGTATAATGGTTATTGAAGTGGATCGCGTAAGTAGGAAGTCTACGGTGTCATAACCGTATCG